CTTCGACTCATCGTCGTCATTCTCATACATATATATAAATATAAAATAGAAAGCTCTATCTGACTTTCGCGACCTATCGTTTCCATTTCGAATCTTATTTACTTATATTATTTTATCTTCTGTCTCTCTCTCTCTCTCTTTCTCTATTAATAAAAAAAAAGAGATCAATGATCTCGAAAAAATAATAATAAATAACCTATATGTTTATATATTAATATATCTGTATAGACATATATATATATATTTTTTTTTTTATTTAATTTATTATTAATATTTATATTAATAATAATTTTAATTTTTGTTAAAATTAAATAAATAAAATTTTTATTTATAAAAATAATAATTTATAATATATGTTATAAATATATATAATAATATAATGTATATATATATATAAAATTAACGTTGAACGTTTCGTATTCAATTAATAATTAATTGATTCATTTTATGTTTACGCTAGAAATTCGATTGATAAATTGAAAACAAAAAAATAAATCTACGAACGATCATTCGATATTTATTATAGTTGTTTTTTATAATAATAATTTACATCTTCGATAAAAAAAAAAAGGAAGAAGAGGTATTTCATATCATTAGAAGATACTCTTCGTGTTTTATGATTTTTTATTATTTTTTTTATTTTTTATTTCTTTTCGTTGTAAATAATTTGAACACGCGCGTGTGGTAARAGACAGACAGACAGACGTTGGTGAAAAAGCTCTCACAGCTGAAAGTGTATCGCCTGTCTCTTTCGTAACGCGTGTCTGTAGTTTTAACACACATGCGTGCCAGCCATCCTAAACGGATTGACCCAAAGAAAACCTCTAAAATGACACAAATAACGGAATACGTATGCGACGATGCTTCTTCTTTCCGGATCTTATGCAACCATCAACGAGCTTTACAATTTTCTGCAAAATAATAAAAAAAATAAACAAAAAATAAACAAAGATATCATTCGCTAGTAGTAGAAGTAAAAAAAAAAAAGAAATTTAATGAAACACCCACCTAGAAAAAATAAAAAAATAAAATATACACTCGTTCGTTGACACTAATATTATTATTGCGAGCTTGTAGAAAGGGTTGCCAGTATTACAGGCGTCATCTATTTTAGACGACGTCGGAACGTTTTAATACATAATATATTTTGGTTACTCTAATTTATACTTGATAAGTGATGAGTTAAATTACGTAATAATTAGATCCCAATTAACTCGTTGTTGTAACTCGTGATTTAAACGTTATCGATATAAAATCTAAAATCTACTAGAAAATCGCAGTAACATAATATATATATATATATATATATATATATATATATATA